TAAAACGTTTTAAGTCTACATAGGTACTTAGACTCGGTTAAAAATATAGTTTAATTTACCGCATTAGTCCATTACATATGCATGTGTACGAAAACAATTTTGATAAAGGAAAACACGTGTAATATTTTAATGTTAAATTTTATTTTTCTCGACTGCGGCAATCAACGAGTAAACGGAGAAAGTATTTTATTTAATTTCAAAAACGCCACTTCAAAAATCGAAAGTAGAGTAAAAGGCTTTTAGTAAAATACTTAATGTGCAACTCATTTAATATTTGTTTCATATATTAGTTAGCGAAATTCTTAAAATACAGGCAATTATTTTAACATTTAATGATTAACTAAATAAACGTGGTGCATTACAATTCTGCTCTATACTCGGATATTTAGGGAAAACAAAAAATTACCTAATGACTTACATGGAATTATAAAAGGATTTTTTCCCCATTAATTATACAAGTGATATATGTACGTATATTTATTTGAAAGCGGAACAGTATAGTATGAACATCATAAAGAATCGGCGATATAGGAAAAAAACGTTCAAATAGGTTTCAGTGTGTTGCCATGTAAAAAAGTATATATTATTAAAAAAAATATATAAAAAGAGTAAATAATTGTTTGTTATAGAGTATATATTGTTTTTATTAATTTCGTGGGGAAAAAATACCGAATAATCTGCACAAGTTGTTTGAAATGTGTATCTCGGTAAATATCGACATCGTTTGAATATTATAAACGCGAATAAGAAAATATATGAACGTGAAAATAATTGTACGTTTATTATAATTTGTCAGCTCTAAAATAAATTGTGATTTCCTTGATGATACTATATACTGATCTCATAAAATCGATGCAATTATATTTTTCACTACTCAAATACGTACGGATACATAAAATATAATATTACAATTATTATAATTTATAAATACCTCAGTAGCTATTATTATTATTATTTGATTTTAATGCTCTACGGTAAAGTTTGCGCACAACAAAATTTCAAACCGCGCTACTGGTCCATATATGCTGCCATGAGCATAAAATTCAATTATATGTTCAACTATAGTCTGATAAAAAATGTTCTTCTCGTGATACATTGAAAATAATTGGTGATTATAGTACCTTGATAATTTGTTTCTTCGTAACAAATTTCTGAAAATATTACTATAAAAATATTTAGTTTTACACGTATCAAGTTATTAAATCTGAGCCTATAACATATAGTTTGAAATATTGTATAAACTTATGTAGGATGAAAAACAAGAAAAAATTAACCACTAATATACCATATACGAATAGGGCTATGGCGTATACTAATGTATCGTTATCGTTAATAAACGCGCATCCGGTAGGTAACATTTTGATTTGCGTGGTGAAGAATATATATTTACAATCCGTTTTAGTGTTTGGATTTGATTACAATGAGACACTCAAACTTTTAACAACTGATTTTAACCGTGGTATACGTGACATACGCGATTTGATGAACGGACGTTATTCGTATCATTATTTTAATATTTTCCTCGTACATTTGACGTGTGCGCACCTCATGAATCGTAAATATTAGTAACCTAAGAGAAAAAAAATGTATAATCACCTACGGGCGCCTAAAAATAATAATAAAAGTATACTTATAAGTTTTAATATACGTATAATGTCGTAGTCATATAGCGCATATAAATGGTTTTGGATATTAACTTCCATCATAACGCTGAACGATCTTCTTTTCTTTTTTTTTTTAATAACACCACCGGAAATCGTATAATAATTATGTTTATTGCTAGACGATATTATTGTTTTCAATCGTATAGCGTTATATCTAAAGAGTGGCTAACATTATCGTTCACACTGTATTAATATACTCTTAGTTTTTTAAGAGGTTGAACACAACATACATTTTCCAATGGTTCGATAAGAATTAGACATAACAGATAGGAACTTTTATAATATAAGTATAGTTTTGGGTTTGTCGTAAAAAAAAAGACCAATATTACTTACGAATAATTACACTATAAAAAGCGATGGCAGTTTATATGATAGAAAACATTTTAATAATTTATACTTTATCTTTCCAGAAATAAACTAGTATAAGTAAATATAAATAAACAAATTTATGCCACATTGGTGCAAATAGGGAAGGCTTGAGGAGGTTTAGACCACCAAATTACTGCCGAGCTTCCCCCTTCTCAAATGAAGTATAAAGCCAGTTTTAAGAAATTGTGAAAAAATTATTATTTTTCTATAAAAAAAGCAATAGGAGGCTTGGGCCTAAATGTGGGCTATTTACGCCTATGTGAATGCCTAGTTAAGTCTTAAATTAAAATCATTAATAATATCAACAAATTTTAGTTTTAGATAGGTACTAATGAAATATTCAATCAGATATTTTGTATTCAAATTTATTGAAAATTGTCTTTTGAAACACATTATCATAAGTAATATTGTAAATTGGTACGTTTTTTCTCCGAAAAAAATAAATAAATTGATTGTGCATCAAGATCCCAACCTCAAATAAAATGGTATGATAAGAATATTCTTGTATTAAACCATAATACAAGAGTGAGTACTTCAGTGTTATCTAGTGTACGTACGAATACCGGTTTTTTGACATTAATATTCGTTGTCGAATTCTTTAATAATATCGTATTCATAATGTGCATTAATACAGGAATTATGTGTACTAATAATACAAGTTATTACTACCATTATTTTTATTTTTCAGTATTGATAGACACTATTGCAATGCTGCAATGCTGCAAAGTTGTGTAACATAATAGTTAACTATATAAATATTGAATTAAAAATACATTGAGCAATATAAAAATATTTTTCTGGATTAGAAATGTGCATAAAAAAAAATAAGACAATTTCAACGGTTTGAGCCTCTTCGAAATGACAATACATTCATTTTGACTATCAACTCATACGAATTAGTTCACAAATAGAACCAAACGCATAGATAAGATAAATAATTAGAAAATTCGAGTGTATGCTCATTGACGATATAGTCGTCCAATTTTTAAACACATATAAGATAAATAAATGGATACCGTCAAAACGTAAATATAGGTATGTTTAATACATAATACAAAAACGAATCAGCGTATTCGCCAATCATTTTTACAACCATAATTAATTAATATTTATCAGTTATTACTCATGTTGTTGTACCTGTAGGTTTACTATTATGTTAAAATCGATATATCACCGCATTCTCAACAATACACAATAAAGTTAATAATAAGAGTTGCGACACACGTCGTAGTCGATTTTTGCTATCATTGCAGACACAACAGCGCATGTGAATTTGAAAGATAAATTAACGTTAATGAAAAAGATTTTAATGGAATTATCATGAATTCACAGTATTGTTTTTAAAAACTATCCGTACGCCAAATAATTTTCGACGGTTAATTTTTAATAGTATACAGAGTTCAAAGTTTTAAATAATTGTCATTGAATATTCATCCACGCACCTATGTGGCACATAATATGACCTTATATTATCACGTCTCAGTAAATACATTCATCACTCTCAATTTACCAATATTTCTTTGATGGATACATTTGTGATATAATTATTTTGTACTCAGTGATAAATCGACGTGATTTGGTTAGTATTAATTTACCTTAATATTTTTATCCATACCTTCTATTAAAATCTTAAAATAACATTAATAAAACAATAACATTTAATGCATGCGTTTAAGTAATAAATACAATGTTATATTATGCATGTTTTTAATGTAATTCACAACCAACTATACAAATAATCCATTTAATTACCGATGGCAACTAGACCTAACACCTAGTACTATTTAAAGAATATTATGTTGAAACATAACTCGTTGAAAATGGAAATATTAGCGTTTAAATTTTACATTAATGGGAATAAATTTATTTTTTGCTTTGAACGCATGTCAACTATATGAATTAATTTTTTTTTATATTATACATACGAGAATAATTTTTCCCACTTACCAACCTCATGCAAATGTTGGATATTTATTGTACTGAATTAATATTTTTGTTTAAAATATCGAGAAATAATATTGATATAATGTCGTTATTAATATAATTGTATATAATACCTAAATATTAATTTTTTGCAACAAAAATCAATAAATGTAAGCATTCCAATGTATGAGTATATTTAAAAAAAAAACGTCGGATGTATTTTTATTTTTGTTATAATAAACGAAAGCACACGAAATTACTTAGAAAATTGTTAACCATTAAATAAATTATTTTTTTTATAAAATCATTAAAATTAAAATAAAGGAATATTGCTCTTAATTATTTAAACAGAACATTTTTTACAATCTCGATCGATTTGAAAAAATAAATTCAAATTGTAAACACAAATAATAATTTAAAAGATTGTAAGAGCACAAATATTCAATAAAATTATGTCATATACGTACAAATGTTGGGATCTTCTGGAAATAACTATATGTAAAGAAGATATTGTCATTTAATATACATTTTCAGAACTTGAGGAAAATCAATATAATTTTCACGACTGTTGTGGAAATGTATTTGAATAACGAGAAAAGTATATTAATTCAATGTGAGCTGAAAGTCAAATAATACCATTCGATATCTAAGTATACATTTATGTTACAAAATGGAAATATTTAACCACAGTAAACGTACATTATAATACAATATTTTGGACATTTCAATACAAAAACGTGACGATACTATCGGATTTATTAGCGGGAAAAATGTAACTGCATTAAACTTTAAACACTTGTTTAACTGATTTTTTCACAGGGACCAAAACCGAAAGAATGCGAGCCATGCACCTCCTAATCGTACGAAAACAATCGAGCGGTAAGCATCACAATTACGATAGCAATAATATTGTACACGTTTCGAAAGCGAATGTGTTCGGAAAGGATCGGATGACGATAAAAATAATACGAAACAAAAATACGTTGATAATAATATTGGGAAGCGTTCGTACGAACCCAACGGGGACTCCACTACTAATCTTACCTGATTTTTGGGCGCGGGAGCCTGTTTCTCCACGTCTTTGACCATTTGTTTCTCGCTCATCGTCACGGCCTGGTTTACAGAGAGCAGGACGTAGTGTTAACAACGGGTCGTGCGCCTTTGCAAAATGTGTTGGCCACGGGCGACGCGATGGAATCACGAAGTTTCTCGCGGGGCGGAACTTCGACAGGAGCCAATATCGGTGATGCGAGTGCTGGCGCGCGCCACTCACTCGGATCTATACGTTGGTCGCACTCCACGTACGAACAAGTCTTTTGATTGCGGTTCTCGCTCGATCGCTCTCCTTCACTTCTTATCGTGCTCACGGTACGTCTGTGCCGCGCACAAGGGACGACTGAGGGTGTGATGGGCACGCGCACCAGAGGGTAATAAATCCACTACGTTACCGCCGCCCGCGCAGCGTGTGTATTCGTATACGTGAAAAATAATACGCCGAACGTGGACGCGGTGGTGGTGGTGGTGGTGGTGGTGGTGATATCGAGCGCCCTAGCTGCGTTCTCCTCGTCCTACACACGGCCAAACGCGTTGTGACGGCGGCGACGTGCGCGCCGGCAGCCACGATCGGCGCGTTGCCGACCGCGTCGTCGGTGCTCGTCGTCATTTTCCTTTTCGTCCTCCCCACCAACGAATCACACAAACGCGCAGGATGCCGGGTAATGCGTGCGTGCGTGTGTGGTTTTTTTTTCGTGTATACGTAAACGCGTGTGCGTCGAATTCGAACATGTTCCGAGTTCCTACGTTGTCTTCTCATTTTCCCCAATAAATGGTGATCGATTCGTTTGCGGTATACTTGTTTTATTTTTATCAATATCTTTCCAAATTCGCGGTTTCTCAGTCGACGTAATAACAGTGGCAATTGTCTCCATTGAAAAACCCTTTATAATCTTATTTTTCATATATCGCGGTACGTAAATCATGACGTACCATCATTGTTCCACTGAGTCTACCGTTACGTGTGCAAATTTGAGAAGGGAGAGGAAGATGTTGGTTTAAAAGAGTTTACGTATCATGAAAACATCTCAGGCCCGAATATGGTGGAGAAATGTTCGTGGTTCGGTCCCAAGATCGGTACTTTCTCGTACAATCGTAAACCACCACAGCAGGTCCACAGCGCGTGCGTTTTTCTTTCCCTCAAAATCCAGGAATGATGAATATTGCTGAAAACTCGGAAGGTGTAATGGGGTTTGCTAACTGGGTTGTCCACTTTTTAATGATCGAGTCGAACATATATATTGGTGATCATGGTTGCGATTAATGATATTAAAGGTAATCGTGTTTTCGTATTGGAAATCCTACGTCAACAAATCATCGGTCGGTACAGCTGTATAACGTTCACGTACGTATTCGAAAGTGGGACATTTCAAAAGGGAGCTCGTTCTTAACAAACAATTAATATCAAGTGTCAAAATAGTGCAATAGTTAATTACTTGGAAAGGGGAGCCATGACTCTCGTTTTTACGCCTGCGCAACAATATAAAATATCGGTATTTGTGTACGTCTGGTACCCATATCGCGGGTTTGATTTTCAAAATAATTTTCATTCCCAAATAGTTTACTGTCAAGTGACGGATATTTAACAATAAATGAACACACTTCTCAAATCGGACCATCGTTGATGCATTTGTAATCCATTTAATTTACATAACAAATATCTGTTTCAAAGACGTAAACATATTAATATACTAATTATTAAATATATTGAAAATCAGCTTCCCCGAAAATTTGTTTATTCGTTTAACATAAAACAAAAGCTATTAGGTCAATAAATAACATGTATCAATAATAAGAAATCTAATTTTTTATTACCGTCATGGGAAACATTTCAGTAAATAACCCCCGTTGCTTAAATTGTATGACAGCTAAACTCTTAAACTAGTAATATGTAACAACAGCCAATTGAAAACCAAAAGTAACAACACATTCTAAAATTATATGTATAAATATTTTAAACCGAAGATTAATATTAATTTAATAAACTAATTTATTAATAAATTATTATAAATAAATTAATACTTTTTTTTGCTAAAAGTATACGTTTACTTGCGAATCATGAACACAAATATTGTTCAGTAAAAACATACAAGCCGTCATAACTGTTAGTACTTGTATTACTAAAAGGTTAATTTACACGTAACTAAAGTTCGAGATAGTAAACTTTATTTTAATTAATTTAGAGCTGTAATTAATCATTATAATATTATAGATACTATATAGATACTTTTGTTTTATTTTATTTCAATTAATTAACAAATTACACAGCGAAATTATATTTGTAAAATTACAAAATATAGTTCTAAAATAATTATTTCACAATGTACACAATTTTATAATATTAAAAATAGAGAATATTCTTTTCTTAAATTTTCAATTTCAATGTTTTATATTTCATCAAGAAATACCGTTAAGATGAGGAGAACTTCTTTTTTAATTTCCAATTTATGATTTACTATCATGAACTATTTTAAATATACTTCAAATAATGGTAGAAAAAATATTAAGAGTATCATGAAATTAAATGAGATTTGAAAAAAAGTTTTATAATGAGTGCATAAAAATAATAAAACTCTGAATAAATTTTTAGCAATCATGACAGTAAAAAAATGAAAGTAAACTCTGAATGTTATCAAGACCTTGACTTTTTTATTCAAGCGAACTCCATTACTTGAGATTTATTTTTCATATGATAATCGCCATATTATAAATATAGTATTATATTTATTTTTACTCATTGTCTTTATTTAAATAAAATATTTGATTAAAGTAATGTAACTTTTAGCAAACATTCAATTACTGTTCAAGGTAATTTGGGACATTTGTGTATAATTATTTAGAACTGTATAAATAGGCTATCACTTTAAAGTAAACATTATTATTTTGAACAGTTTGAACTCTGCCTATAAATGATGTATCTAGTTGATATTGTATATTTTTTATAGAACATATAGCTTGCGGATTTGATCAACCCTAAATTTAATTGTGTTCGTTTTAAATTTTCAATGAAAAAATATTATTTTATTCGATTGAGGTGACATAATATTTGTTTGACATCTTTTTTTATTTTTAATTCCAGTTACGAAATATAGAGTTACATTTTATACAAACTTCGATTGATGAACAAAATATTATAAGTGTTTTATTTTTAATTTTTTTTTTTAGTTTAACATCTAGTCAAATAAAGTATGTGAATCGAAATTACTTATAAGTAATCATTCATTAAAATGTTCTTATTAAAAACTATTGCCCGTTTGATTGTAGTAATACATATTAAATTCAGTTAACAACGAGTAGTTATTCACAAAATCAAAGTATGATATTAATTTTATTATTTGTGCTATTTTAATAAATAAGTCTTAATGATTTATAGCTACATAAAATGTATTCAGTAAGTATCATTCTATTACCAGTATGTTATCATTAAAGACTGGGTATAATTTCATTAAAAATATCTTAAAATTGCACTAAAATGTTATCAAAATTGCAATTAAATACATTAAAATTACATAGTAAAATCATATCAAATATATAATCATTAATTACTTAATTAAATAATATTATGGATATCAATATAATATTTACAAAATATATAATTTTTCTGAATTAAAATTTATAATAATATACATATCTAAATTGTGTTCTTGAAAAATCTGTTACTTAAAATATGTTTATATAATGAAAAAGTACATTCAACGTCGACATTTGTTATCGATACATATTTAAAATAGTTTAAAAAAGTGGGTGTTGTATCTAAATAAACATTTTGATTTCCTGTCATAATCTCAGAGTAAGTTTTAATAGTTTTATATCCTTCGTTTTTTTCTAAGACCTATTTTAATTTATCTTTAACTATTTTTCCATTGGGACCGGGAATATTTATAGAAATATTTATACTAAATATTTTTATTTAGTTAGTATTTGTTTAGTATTTATTTATTTAATTATTTAGTATTTATACTAAATATGTTTAAACTATTAAGTAATTGACTATTTGATTCTTCTAAACTTGTGAGTTTTGTGGATAATTCAGATAAATATAATTTTAAAAATCCTAAACTACATTTAACTACTTGTAAAAATTTACGTCGTAGTTATATTTTTTATGTAAAATCACTTTGGAAATAATAATTTGTATATTTTATCACTTGAAATATACAAAAATTCAATAATTGCAAAAAATTGCATTAGTAAATTAAATAGGAACACTGTAATTAATCTGATTTGTATACATATCTGATAAGATTTGATTTACTGGGTATCAATAAAAAGTTGCAATATCAATTAAATCCGCTCTTTAGTTATCATATTAATATAAGTTATATTTGTTAGTACATTTATTTTTTTGTATATTTATAAGTACTATTTGTTTACTTAAATGTATTATATTCAGATAAGTATTGATATTGATATTCACATTAAATAGTTTTGACTTAAATACATTTAAGTATTATTTTTAAATTATTAAAAATAATTGTTTTAATATTAAGACTTTCACTTGAGACATTTATACACATATTTCAAACACATGAATTAACATTTGCATTAACATGCAAATTATTCGAAGATTCATATGATTTTGATAAATTGGTTTTATATATAATATAAATATATTTTTTTTTTATGATTTAATTATTAAATATTTTTATAGTTATTTCAAAGTGTTACAAAATGTTGAATGTTGAAAAATGAATACTCATGTTAAATTGAGTAATTTGGTTCAAAGACTTATTTTTTAAACATTGTTTAAAATGTTTCTTTCTGTCGAAAATGTATAGAATCCCAGTTAATTGCTGATTTTTTATGATTTTACGGGTTATGTAAACATTTCGATTACAAAATCATAATAAATATTTATTATTTTGACTAACTTGTTAATAGTGATATGACACTGCTTATAATTAATTCAATAGATATTATTTAAATGTTATCAACTTGTTTTCATTAATTTTTAGAACATGAATTAGTTTGTTGCAGTAAATTATTAGTGTATAATACTTATAATTACACAGGAACTTAAAAAATTAAATTTACATCGATAATTTCATTAAAATATACAGAGCACAACACTTTTTGATCAAATTCAGTGATTATTTTAAAACATTCAAAATTCTATCTTTAAAATAGTTAAGTTTTTACATTTAAGATACAATAGATAAAAATAAGTTGTACATTCGCATTTTTTCTCATGCGTGGCTTAAAAGAAAATATAATTTTAGAATTAAAGTAACTATGATAATTAAATTGTATATGCAGTGGTAAATAACAAGAAAAACTAAAAACATAAATGATACAATAACCAAACCAAACTATCGGGTAATCTTAGGTTTTCCGATTTTATTATATTGTTAGTTTAGTAAAAGCAATAAGAATAATTTTAAAATATAAAATTTAAGTAATTATTTTTAATATTACATTAAGTTTACAAAAACAAGTTGGCAAACTTGGAAATTTGCAGTTAATTATATATATATATTAGGGTGGTCGTTAATTTTACACTTTCAAATATTTTATCGAGCACCCTTCCATTTTGTTCATTAGTATAA